CACAGTGGACAGCGTGTGGCAGGTCCTCCTGCATCTGCTGCCTGGAGGCCAGGTGTGAGCCCCCGGCAGCTGTCACAGTGGACAGCGTGTGGCAGGTCCTCCTGCATCTGCTGCCTGGAGTCCAGGTGTGAGCCCCCGGCAGCTGTCACAGTGGACAGTGTGTGGCAGGTCCTCCTGCATCAGCAGCCTAGAGGCCAGGTGCACATCCCCTGGCAGCTGCCCAGGTGGACAACATGCAGCATTGACTTGGCTCCAGCTGGCACTATGAGAGATGCAGCGACAACCCCAGGCTGACTCCTGGCGTCTGTGCTGGGTCATGGGCGCCCTAGGGGTCCGCAGCATTCACAAGGTCAGGCCTTATGCACAGGTGACCCTGGACAGCCGAGCAGAGGCAGAGGGGGACCAGCTGACCCACCTGTGTCTGCAAATGCCAACGCACTATGTCTGCCCGTGTTGTTGATTCTGTCCACAATGCTGTGACTTCCCTTCCACCCTCAGGATGAACGGGCAGCTCCCTGGGTGGCAGTGCCAGGTCTGAGAAATGAGGATGTCCCTTGTGATTTCACAGTCGGCGGCAGCACAGGGCATGTGCCATCTGCGGTCATTTCCTTGCATCTCTGTGTGTGCAGAGGCATTCGTGTATCTTGGTGACCGCTGAGGTGCACACAGGCTGGCCTTGTCACTGCTTGTGTCTGGCTGTGAGTTAAAGCAGGTTGGCCGCAGACTCAGAGGTGACATGCAGGTCACCGGGGGCCTCTGCTGACCATCCTGACTGCCACCCCCAAGTGCTCTCTGGCCCCTGTGCCACTGCTCCTAAGGCCTTCCTCTTTTTTTTATAGTTTCAACTAGAAAGTTGTAAGATTCGATAACCTAAATGCCAGTTGCTAATGAATGAGGCATGCGGGAAAGATGGCCTTCATTCAGGAGCCATATCTGAGGCATTTCCCAAAGTGAGTAACTGTTTGGCTGGTTAGGTCCTAAGATGTCCAGCTGTCATTATGAAATGCAGAGGGGACGGTGAGGGGACACCCGCCTTTTCCAGCATGATCTGCACGTAGGTGAGACACTGCTTGTGCACAGGCTGGGGACAACACACTGACAGCTGGCAGGAGGTCAGAGAAGATGCTTTAATGGGAATGAACAGGTGGGAGGCTTGCTTCAGTTACAGCCCCCATCGCTGATGGGTCAAAGCAGACCACCTGGCCTGTGGCTGAACGGGCTTTATAGAAAGCCTCAGTGGAAGAACTGGATTCATATGATGCATAATCTGTGTTCATTTCAGACGTGAGTGACGGTTTAGGTTCAGTTGCAAGCGACAGAGAAACCCAAGCCAGGATTTTTTTTTTCTTTTTTTTTTTTTTGAGACGGAGTTTCACTCTTGTTACCCAAGCTGGAGTGCAATGGCGCGATCTCAGCTCACCACAACCTCTGCCTCCTGGGTTCAGGCAATTCTCCTGCCTCAGCGTCCTGAGTAGCTGGGATTACAGGCACGCGCCACCATGCCCAGCTAATGTTTTGTATTTTTAGTAGAGATGGGGTTTCACCATGTTGACCAGGATGGTCTCGATCTCTTGACCTCGTGATCCACCCGCCTCGGCCTCCAAAGTGCTGGGATTACAGGCCAGATGTTTTTAATGAGATGCCAGTTTACTTTTCTCTCCCTCATGAGATTGCCGGACTCTCCGCCGTGCAGGGTCCCTGCTGCGACTCGGTGCTGTGCTGTGGGTGGCCTCTTCCCAAGGTCACCTCATGGCCCAGGCACTTCCGGCCACTGTCACCCTGTCTGCCCCCGTCCCTGCAAGATGAAGGAGAGGGTGTGAGGAAGGAGCCCATCCAGGAGGCTCCTCCTCCCCCTGTGCATGGCACAGCGGTTGGAAAGGTCACCTTTTTACGGGACACCATACTTCAGAGAAAAGCCAGTGGTGGTGTTACTCGGAAAATAAGGCAGACTCACCCCGGGGATTCTGAGTGGCCACCGTTTGTTCTGGCAGAAGTGCACATGCACGGCGTTCTCGGCGTCTGGTTGAATCTCGCTCCCTCGGTCCTCTCAGAGCGTCGCTTTTGTGACCAGGTTGGTACTGGATGGCACTGGCAGGAGCATCTTCCACTGGGGCTTTTGGCCAGCTGTCTCCAGTCTGATAAGGACATTGGAGATTCTGTAAACGTTCTTCAGAAATGTTCCCCTCAGATGTTGTGTATTTTAAGGCATTATTTTCAGTGAAATAACATCTTTTAATACAAGAGCTAAGCTGTTACTCCGAAGTGGCCAGTGAATGAATGTCCCTTGCTCTGCCGCAGATAAAGAAGCTTGAATCACGGCTCAGTACCACAGAGTGCGTGGACGCCAGGGGCGAATCTCACGCCAACAACACTAAGTGGAGCAAAGACGCATGTACCGTTTGTGAGTGCAAAGTGAGTATGGGGGCCTGTGTTCATTCACACCCTACGGTGTACCCAAGTCCAAGAGCCCCACATTGTCACTCAGCTGCATGGCCCAGATGTCAGGGCCAGGCCCCTCCCCGCCCACCTGCACTGGCCTCCATCCCTCCTTCGCCCCTGTGGAAGCAGCAGGGAAGCCCAGCTCTTTGTGCGCAGAGGAAGTGCTAGGAGGCCCAGAACCTCGGCATGGCCACCCCACGGAGGGCAGGCAGCTCCTACTCTGTGCGGAGCCACCTGAGCAGCTCGTGTGCACCGGCTTCACCTTCCCCCCAGCTGTGACAGCACTGTTCATGCTGTGGAAAACCACGAGTGGGGCGGATTCACTCCTCCCTGCAGAGCTGCTGGGCGAACACCGACCTTCCCACCACTGGCCCTGTCCCATCTCCCATCAGGGCGGGTGTGTTACAGAGGTCACTGGGGGACGATCCTCCCTGCAGAAGGGAGGCCAGTGGCAGGTGGAGGGTGCCCTGGTGCTGGCAGTGGACAGACGTCTGGCTGCAGCCAGGCTCCGGAGACAGCTCAGGGCGTAGGGTGAGGAGGCAGATGGTGAGGGCAGCAGGCTGGCCCCAGGTACCTCCTTTGCCATGGCCACTGGGAGAGAGTGCCTCAGTGTCCCTGGGCTGCTCAGGTTTGGGGAGGACAGACCAGGGAGAGCAGAGCGCTGTCCCTCCAGCCCTCTCTAGTCCCATCCTGCTTCCTGACAATGCCCGTGCCCAGACACAGTCTGAGGGGATCCAGGAGTGAGGAGGGAGGATGTGCCCAGCCGGTGGTCCCAGCCCCTTAGGGTGAGAGGATGGTGGGCATGGACTGGAGGGCAGAGCATTAGCCTCAGGGAGACTTGTTATGGGGTTCCCATGAACTCATACCTGTCTGCAACTGTGAAATCCTCAGAGAACCACAAAACCCATGCCCACAGGGCAAGCACAGTGGGCAAGGCAGGGGCCTCGAGGAGAGGCCTGACTCTTTGTAGTGGCTGACACCTGTCCTCGAGCTGACAGGCTGTGCTCACCTGACACCTGTGCTAGAGCTGACAGGCTTGCTCACCTGACGGCCATTCCAGAGCTGACAGGCTGTGCTCACCTGATGGTCATCCCGGAGCTGACAGGCTGTGCTCTTTCTTCTCCAGGACGGGCAGGTCACCTGCTTCGTGGAAGCTTGCCCCCCTGCCACCTGTGATGTCCCCATGAGCATCCCAGGTGTCTGCTGCCCAGCCTGCTTACAGAATACAGCAGAAGAAAGGCCGTAGGCTCCCGGGAAGCTCCTTGGTGTTTGTCTGTGCCATCATGAGATCAGGTGGCCGATGGCAGGAGCTGCAGACTGAGACCAGGAAACACCCAGAACTCACGACATTTCATGACAACGTCCAGCTGGTGCTGTTACAGAAGGCCTCGTGGGGGACTTCCAAACAGAGCATCCTCGGGGAAGGAGGCGGAGCAGGCGCCCGAGGGGAAGCAGGCAGGAGTCCTAGCTTCACGTTAGGTTTCTCAGGTTTCTATTTAATTCTTTTAAAATGAAAAATTGGTGCTACTATTAAATTGCACAGTTGAATCATTTAGGCGCCTAAATTGATTTTGCCTCACCACACTGTTTCTTTTTAAATACAGCAGGATACCTCTAAATCTCAGCCTTGCCTTGTTCAGATGCCCGGAGCTGGCAGACCTGTCACCCGCAGTGGGGGTAAGCCTCAGAGTTGCCAGGGGCCTCACCAAAATCGGGGTTCCATCACAAGCTGTGTTTAAAAAGAAAATTGGTGTTTGGCAAACGGAACAGAACCTTTTATGAGAGTGTTCGCAGGGCCACTGTCTGCGGGTACAGGGCAAGCCCCCAGCCTCTTCCCTGGGAACCTCTAAACTCCTTCCTCTGTAACATTTCACCGCATGTCAGCATCGAATCCTAAGACAAACATTCCCGCTGCTCGAAGCAGCCATGTAGCCTGACTCTCCGTGTGTCAGCTCCTTCCACACTTGATTAGAACATTCATAAGCCACATTTAGAGACAGGTTTGCTTTCAGCTGTAACTTGCAGACATGCTGCCTGGTTGTGAGCCGGATGTGAAAACCCTCCTTCATCCCACTGTGTATCTATCTGATGATACCTGCTGAGTGGCCCACTGTGTGCATCAACAGCGTGGCTCCCAGTCGCCCGGGCTGCGCCCACGTCCTGAGCCTCCTTCCCAGCAGAGCACAGGGAACAGTGGCCTCCAGATGGCTCTTCCCGTGGGAGGAGGGGCTCAAGTGTGGGGACTTCCTAACTTCAGGTTGTGTGAGTGCGTTAAAAAAAAAGAATCCCTATACCTCATTTGTATTTTTAAAATGCATGATGTTTTATGAAATTTTGCCCATTTTTTAGATATTAGATATGACAGAAAACCATTTCCACTATGCAAAAGTTCTTTAGAAGTCAGTGAAAATCAACTCTCATACCTCATGGTCTCTCTCTTTTTAATTGACCAAAACCTTCCATTTTTCTCTACGTACAAAGCGACTTGTATTCTGAGCATCATTTACCCGGACACACAGGTTCAGTGCAGTACACTGACCTGAGCACCCACCATGTGCCAGGCATCCACTGGGCACACCAGGCACTGAGGCCAGGCCACCTGCCCTCAGCAAGGCCCAGTGGAGGTGGTGAAGGAGGAAGCCCCTGAGGTTGCGGGCAGTTTCCGTTCAGGGTGGCAGGTGTCCCGCACTGGGGCATGACGTTGAGGCTGCCGTGGGATGAGGGAGGCAGGATGGGCGCATGCAGTGCCTGGTGTGATGTGTGCGTGACCCACTCGAGGTGCACGTCCTCCCAAGGAGACACCCAGACCCTTCCAGCAGGAGGCTTCCAGGTTGCTGTGGCGTAGGCAGCATTTCAGCCATGAGGAAGGTCATTGGATTCATGTGTCTTATGTGTAAAAATGGTTACCTTGACTCCTTATCCTCATATTTGTAAATGATTGATAAAAGTTTGGTGGCATTTTATGACACAGGGACTTCTTTTCAAAGAGCAAGTCAAATGTTGTAACCAGATCGTGGAAGAGGTTTCTGTAAAACAGGGAATGTGTAAGTTCGCCTGAAAGCTGATGGTTATGTAAGCTGCTTGGGTACTCAGAAGACAGCAGATTTGGGGTTCTGGAGGGTGTCCGTGCCCCTTACATGCCTTGGAGGCCTCTGTGGTCTCAGCGCTGCTGCAGCACACAGACACACGTGCATCAACGTGTGGTCTGGGCCAGCGAAGAGGAATTGTGTTGTCGAAGCCAAAGGGAGAAGCTGACTGTGATTACCAAACAAAATCTGTAATTCAAACCAAAACGCCTGCGGAATCACCAGTTTGATACTGTCTGTAATCGGAAGAGTGGGCAGTACCTGGGTGAGCATGTCCAGAGCCGCTGTGTGGGGACCGCTGTGGCGGCGGTGGAGTGTACATATTTATTTACTTTTCTAACTGCTCCAACAGCCAAATGCCTTTTTTATGACCATTGTATTCAGTTCATTACCAAAGAGATGTTTGCACTTTGTAATGATACCTTTCAGTTCAAATAAATGGGTCACATTTTCAAATGGAGAACGACTTCATTTTTTTACCTGAAACCAGCACATAAGGCTAAAAGTTTTCCAGGTGAGATCAAAAGCCTAAGAAGAGAAGGAGGTAGGTCCAGGAAGAAGCCCCAGATCTGTCCTAGTCACTAATCATTTTGTACAAAAAATGTGAAGAATTTTTTTAAAAAGAAGGTATTAGATAAAGTGGACTTCTTTTTCTAAAGTAGCTAGGATGCTTTAGCCTGACTGAATTTTGGCAGGTGGGCACAAGCTCTTGGGGAAAACCTCTGGCCATGAAGTGCCCTTGCCTCCTGGAATTTTTGTGCCTTGGACAAGGACATTTATTTGTCAGAGAGAAATGTACAAGCAACTCACACACCAAGGTGTCTGTGATGGGCAGATGCTTTCCCAAATCAAGAGCTTAGGTCAGGAGGCTACAGTGCACTGAAGACAGAGCCATGTATGGCTCTGGGGCCAGAAGTCAGGGATCACATGTGACAACTGCTGAGCCCCTCAGGCTGTGGCTGGTAGAAGAGAGGATGCTGCTCTAAAGGAAGCTGGAATGGGTTCTAGGGCATCTTTTTTTTTTTTTTTTTTTTTTTTTTTGAGACAGAGTCTCACTCGGTCGCCCAGGCCGGAGGGCAGTGGTGCAGTCTTGGCCCAAGCGCAGCCTCCGCTTCCTGGGTTCAAGTGATTCTCCTGCCTCAGCCTCCCGAGCAGCTGGACTACTGGTGTGTGACACCATGCCTGGCTAATGTTTTGTGTTTTTAGTAGAGACGGGGTTCATCAGGTTGGCCAGGATGGTCTCCATCTCCTGACCTCGTGATCTGCCCACCTCTGCCTCCCAAAATGCTGGGATTACAGGATTAGCCACCGCCCCCAGCCCCCAGGGCATTTTTATAGGGCCTAGAAAAAACACTACTCGCCTATATCAGGAGAAAAATTAAATATTAAGGAAAATTAAATATGTTGTTAAAATTGCTAAATCATCAGAATTAGAATGAGAAATTGAGTTGCTTTCATGGAATGTTTGTGAACATGGAATGAACACTCCTCAACCAAAAAAAACAAATTAGGTGCTCTTCTGTTACCAGAGAATGAGTGTCATATACCAGTTTTAATTTAATTGAAATGCCTAATGCAAAACTAGCAAAAGTTAATCTTATGTGTCTTATTTTGATATTATGTAGAACGCACTGCAACATTCCTACTGCTTTTTGTCATTAACACTTAATACCTGTTTCTAGTGTGCAAAATTATATGTCAAATGACATAAACACAGGCCTGTCTGGGAGATGCAGCAGGACCACCACAATAAGTGACTGTCTCAATGAGCCAATTCATACCATTGTTTCAGTTCCCCAATGCATAGGGAAGCTGCGTTCATATTATGCTGTGGTCTATTACGTGCACAAAAGCATTATGTCTAAAAAATGTACATACCTTAATTTAAAAATACTTTATTGCTAAGAATAGTGAATGATCCTCTGACCTGCAGTGAGCTGTAATCTCTGCTGATGGAGGGTCTGATCTGGATGTTAATGGCTGCTGACTGGTGGTTGCTGGAAGTTGGGGTGGCTGTGTCATTTTCGGAAAGTAAGACAAAATGAAGCTTACCGCATTGGTGTAGTCTTACTTTCATGAAAGATTTCTTCGTAGCGAGGGATGTTGTTTGATAGCATCTTACCAACAGAATTACTTATTTCAACATTGAGGTCAGTTCCCCTGCTGCTTTATCACGTTAGTTTGTGGAATATTCTAAAGCCTACGTTGTCCTTTCCACAGTGTTCACAGCATCTTCACCAGGAGCAGACTCCATCTCAAGAAACCACCTGCTTTCCTTATCCCTAAGAAGCAACTCCTCATCCATTCAAGTTTGATGCTGAATTGCAGCAATTCAGTCCCATCTTCAGACTCCCCTCCTAATTCTCTTGTTATTTCCACCACATCCGAAGTTACTGCCTCCGCTGAAGTCTTGAACCCCTCACAGTCATCCATGAGGGCTGGAATCAACTTTCTTTTTTAACAGGCACACTGGTTAGTGTGTATATTTTGACCACCTCCCATGGATCACAAATGTTTTTAATAGTATCTAGAGTGGTGAATTCTTTCCAGAAGGTTTCAGTTTACTTTACCCCAATCCATTAGAAGAATCACTATCTACAGGAGCTACAGCCTAATGAGATTATTTCTTACTTGAAAGTCAAAATTGTGCCTTGATCTTTGGGCTGCGGAATGGACGTTGTGTCAGCAAGCATGAAAACAACATTCATCTCCTTGAACATCCCTATCAGAGCTCTTGCATGACCAGGTGCATCGTCAATGAGCAATGATATTTTGAAGAGAATTGATTTTTCTGAGCAGTAGGTCTCAAGAGTAGGTTTAAAATATTCAGTAAATCATGCTGTAAACAGATGTGCTATGGTCCAGACTTTGTTCTTCAATTTATGAAGCATGGGCAGAGTAGATTTAGCATAATTCTTAAAGGCCCAAAAATTTTCAGAAGTAAATGAACATCGACTCCAACTCAAAGTCACCAGTTGCACCAGCCCAGAACAAGAGAGTCACCCTGTCCTCTGAAGCTTTAAAGCCAGGCATTGACTTCTCCTCTCTAGCTATGAAAGTCCTAGATGGCATCTTTTTCCAATAGAAGGCTGTTTGATCCACATGGAAAATCTGTTGTTAAGTGTAGCCATCTTCATCAATGATCTTAGCTGGATCTTCTGGAGAACTTGCTGCAGCTTCAGGTCAGCACTTGTGACTTCTCCGTGTACTTTTATGCTGTGGAAACAGCTTCTTTCCTTCAGCCTCAGAACCAACCTCTGCCAGCTTCAGAATCTTTTTCTGCAGCTTGCTCACCTCTCTCAGCTCTCATAGAATTGAATGGAATTAGGGCCTTATTCTGCGCTAGGCTTTGGCTTAATGGAATGTTGTTTCTGACTTACCTTGTACCCGGACCACTCAAACTTCCATGTCAGCCATAAGACTGTTTCACTTATTCTTTCATTCCCTTCAAGAACTTCTTGGCATTAATGACTTGATCATTTGGCACAAGGGGCCTGGCTTTTGACCATTTTCAACATACCTTCCTCACTGAGCTTAATCATGTTTAGCTTCTGATTTCAAGTGACAGACATGTGACTCTTCCTTTCCCTTGAACACTTAGGGGTCATTGTAGGATTATTAATTGGTCTAATTGCAGTATTATTGTGTCTCAAGGAGTAGGGAGGTCTGAAGAGAGGAAGAGTAACCCATTCAGTGCCCAAAGCAATTAATAGTAACGTCAAAGATCACTGATCACAGATCACCATAACAAATGTCATGAGAAAGGTTTGAAATATCGCAAGAATTACCAAAATGCGCCAGAAACACGAAGTAAGCACATCACTGGAAAAAATGGTCCCAACAGATTTGCCCCACACAGGGTTACCACAAACCTTTAATTTGTAAAAAATGCAGTATCCGTGGGCCGGGCACAGTGGCTCATGCCTGTAATCCCAGCACTTCGGGAGGCCGAGGTGGATGGATCACCAGAGGTTAGGAGTTCAAGACCAGCCTGGCTAACATGGTAAAACCTTGCCTCTACTAAAATTACAAAAAAGGAGCCGGGCGTGGTGGTCGGCACCTGTAGTCTCAGCTACTCAGGAGGCTGAGGCAGGAGACTCGCTTGAACCCGGGGAAGCGGAGGTTGCAGTGAGCCGAGATTGCATCATTGCACTCCAACCTGGGTGACAAGAGTAAGACTCTGTCTTAAAAATAAAAAGAGAAAGAAACAAAATGCAGTATCTGTGAAGTGCAATAAATCAGAGCATGAAATGAGTTGTGCCTGTGGTTTTTGTTTGTTAAAGTTCACAACACGTCTTCAGTGAACGTCCCAAACGTTTTCTGACAGAGTTTCAGGAAGGCATCTGATTTGTGTCCACTGAGCTTCGTGGAACAGTTTTTCTGGTGAACCCAATTTATCACCACCCACACCTCTAGTCACGAAGCTCTGGAACCTCGGAGATGGGATAGATGAGTGAGCAAAGTGTATTTGTAAAAGCGATCACCTGCTCTAAGTTTATCCAAGCCCCCACCATGTGACCAGTTGGGAGCCTCAGCTTGAATGGATTTAAGGCTATCCTGTAATTACAGAGGAGGAACAACGGTCCCCGAGGGCAGGTCACATTGCCCCAGGCCACCCAACGAATGAGAGCCTGTGGAACGTCAGCCCAGCCCCACGCGCTGCTGCTCACAGCTGTGAGCATGGTATAGCCGGGCAGAGTCAAGTTAGCGTAATTCTGCTCCGATGCCCTAGCCAGCTCATATCCACCGGGGTTTGCACACCGCTGTGAGGAAGCACACCCAGTCCTGGCCCCTCGGCTTAGTCCTGCTGATGGGCTGCCATCCCCAACTTGTCCTTAACGTCCTAGCGACTGTGACAAAGGCTCTGAACAGTCACTACAGTTACGGTTTTCATGTATTAAGTGTTAAGCCTTTGTCCTTAAAATCTTCACACTGTAGGTTTGCTTTCACTTACGTTTATAGTAACAAACATTCTCACATCCCAAATCTGGGGATATTGACAGGCAGTTAGCATGTTTGAATCTGGCAGATTCCCAGAACTCCAGTAATGACTGTTTTTATGTTTGTGGGATTTATTAAAAATAACTCTGTCTGGCTGGGCGTGGTGGCTCACACCTGTAATCCCAGCACTTTGGGAGGCTGAGGTGAATGAATCACTCAAGGGCAGGGCTTGGAGACCAGCATGGCCAACATGGTGAAAAACCGTCTCTACTAAAAATACAAAAATTAGCTGGGCGTGGTGGTGCACTCCTGTAATCCCAGCTACTTGGGAGGCTTAGGCAGAATTGCTTGAACCTGGGAGGCAGAGTTGCAGTGAGCCGAGATGGTGCCATTGAACTCCAGCCTGGACGTCAAGAGCAAAACTCCGTCTCAGACAACAAACACCAGCTCGGTCTCTGTTCACCATCACCGTGCCTGGGTTTTCTTTGTTCCAGCTGTGGGGACTCCAGAGGGTGGAAG